TGCTGAAGTTGGGCGGACTGTCGGGCCCCGCTGAGCCTTCCTCTCCGAAAAGATTGGAACAACTTACTGAGTGAATAAAAGGCTCGAAACGAGCATCCAGGGAATCAGAGGATCCATTAGGTGATCCATCTGATCGATATGAGCTGGAAGTGCTATAACGTGATGAGGAGCGATACGAGGAAGAGGATCTTTGGCTGGAAGTTGTCAGTGATGCCATGACTGAAGATATCGGTGGCCTTTAAAACTTGCTGAGAACCAACTTCTATCCCAGATGCAGCCAATCTCTCCTCAGATATGAGTTCTCATTAAACACTGACAGAGTCTGCCAGCAGCTACTGACCTCATACTAATCATCCTGGAGTCTTTGTTGTGGGGTTTTATAGAGCCCTGCTGCATCATGGGACACAGTGTTGGCTACTCTGCAAGGCATTTTGGCTTTAGCCCTAAATGGTCGTTTGTCAGAGCACTTGTGCCAAGAGTGTAACGGATAAACTGATAATGAGCAGAGACCGCTTCCTATTCTCACACACAAATACCCACATCCAGAGATAGCGCCCATCAGAGCTGCTGGAGACGTTTCTGGCATGTAGTCAGAAATAGAAAAGCCGTTGTGAGGTTAGGGCGTCCATACGACTGACCTTGCATGCAATGTCAAACATATCTGACTCTTTTACTTTCTATTCTGAAAACAAATTGAAAGCTTTGTGAAGCAAACGCAGAAGATACTTGTAGAGGAGGCGCTCTGTGACCAAAATAACAATCTGTGCTCGCTATTTTTGAATTCAATTTTCTGTGTAGAAGACTAACTTTGAATGGACATCGAATTTTGGTCTGGTTTGTACTTATCCACATAACTATAATAAATAATTTCCAGGCTTTATCTGCATTTATTGTGATATAAATCTTCACGATAGTTGAAAACAATGTTTAAAAAATAGAAATACTTTCAGAAATCGGTTGGAAAATTGGCCGCTCCCTTGATACTTTGATGGACTACCTTTTGATTCATGTCATTGTCTTGTGTTGTTTGATAGGAGTCATCTCTGCAAAACTTCTCCAAATCATTCAGACTGTGTGGCTCTTCTCTCATTCACTGCTCTGGATATAAGTGTAGACTGTTGCCATTATAAAAAAGAAAGTTCTTCATCCTCAGTTTCCTAACTGACGCCTAAAGGCGCAGGTGTTGGCACATACTCCCTGGACGGGTTGTTTGTCACAGGACAAACAAACACCCTCTGTAAAGCAAACAGATCTTTTTAAATTGTTGCTAAAGATTTAAACTTTTGTTTTATCAGTTCATAACGTTGGAGGACATTTATTAGATCTGGATGTTTTCTTTGGAGGAGAAGAACCAAGAAGAAACCGAGACACTGTTGTCACATGCAGAAATACAATCAGTACTTCAGTGCTGCTGCTGTCGGCATCTTGACATCTTCCAGAACCGGATTCCTTTGTCGTTTTTATCAATAATGGGGGAATGTTCAATTGTAGAAATGTCACTGTAGCACTGTTTTGTTTTGTTTTTTCAAAATATTAATCTTTGCTGTGCCACAGTGACTATGGATTTATTTTTTCCTGATTCATAACTACAATAAACTCCATTTCAGCCTCTCTGTAATCCAAACCTTTAGCTAAAGGACACAAATCAGCAAATGTCAAGAGAATCCTCCTGAAGCTGAGCTTTTCTTCAGGTTAATCAGATTTACTATAGCTGATGACAGATGTGAAGCCAAGAGGGATAAATGCCGGAACAGAATCAAAAAGTGGTTTAAGCAAAATAGTAAAGAATCTGCAACCACTTTTATTTTTATAGGATATTTTTACCTGAAAAGTAAAAAATAAATAAATAAATAAATATGTTTAACATAGTGTCATCTCAAAACTGTTGCATTATTTTAACAGGAGCGTACAGACTTTTTCTACCCCTCTGTTAACCTTCATGTTCTCTATGACATTTACAAATTGTCCTCAAATCATGATGACATTCAGGACTGTCACATAGATGAATACCTTTAGTAATTTGTGCTTGTTCAGTCCAGCCTTTGACTCACGCTCAGAGAACTTTGTGTCAGCAGTAATTCTGCAGGTCATATGAAGCACTGACAGCTCCAATGTGTTTCCCCACCAGTGGAACAAATGCACCTGCCTTCGTGAAACAGCATGCATTAATAAGTCCTTGAAACCTTGACGCTGTACAAGGTGCTACTATTCAGGATGGAAAGACAATAGAAAAGAGACAAAGTGAGAGAAAGTAGACTCAACAGTTTTCTCCAGCTTCTCTCAACTGGGCAGTAGATGAGTTCTTCCTCATCTCCCTCTCTGTGGACTCAGCACCTCCTCTGGGAATGATTTCAGCCCCTAATGACACATTTTGGTCTCCAGAGTCCAGAGCTGCCTCGCACCAGATGGTGGACCGTCAGTCGGTGCACCATGGCTGAACTCAGAGGAGATAAAATGATGGTGTTAATGAGGCAAGAAGTACACAGAGAACACCATAAGAGGTCCATTTAGGTTTCCTGAGCATGACTGAGTCATTGTTAAATCAACCTGTGTCAATGCGTTTGCTGCTGCAAAACATTTAGGTAATGTAGAAATCTGCATGGAAAAATTTAGACTCCAGAGTTCAGCAAAGAAAGTTTTTGTCCTTTTCTGAAAAAAAAAATGTTGTTCAGGGGTAATTACTTTTTCACATTGGGCCAGCCTGATTAGGATGTTTTCACTAGTACCATAACATAGTTATAACTAAACTTTTATTTCCTACTCAGTGATATGTGTCACTAAATTGTTTGTTTAAAACATTTCTTTATGTCTAACATTAGTATTAAACAACTTCACCCTCCAGATGCTTTTGCTGTAGGAAGCCATTTCTAATTTATGAATTGTCTTATTTTGAAGAGAGTCTGGTATAATTGAGAAAAATGCTACATGACTGTAGAGGGAATCCTTTTTATTGTGATTGAAGTGAAACAACTAAAAACTTGAAAAGAAGAAGCCTTATTTTGCTCTCATGTTTCTGTATCTTCAATTGAAAAGAGCAAATATTTCCTAAAGTTCAACAATAAAACTTCAGATCCTGGGATTTACTTAAGTCTTGGCCCAGATATTACTGCATATCTTTAGAGTACCGCCTGAATGGCAGCCACTCAGACCCGAGGCTCAGAATCAGATTTTTTCAGTCTGTGGTGTAGATCAGATCCGATCAGGGCCGCCTGAGCCGGGAGGATCAGATGCCACTCCGCTTTGCTTCACAACCTTGACGAGATGAGATTTTATACCAAAAATAGGATTTTTCTTGAAGGTGCTTCATATCAGCTCTTTTTTGTGATGCAAACAACTGTTAAACCATTCAGCAGAGCACTCTGTTAACACTTATTTTGACTAAATGTTGAAGGTTTTAAGGTTTCATGTTTTTTTTAACATGCTGCAGGTATGCACTATGCTCTCACAGTGAAGGAAAATAGTTTCTTTATCCACATTAATGGATAAAGAAATATTCAGGATTATTATATGATACGAGATTTGAGATATAATTAAGCTCAAAATTTGGTTTTGAGGCCAAACTATAACGTTATATTGTTTTACATAAAAATATATGAATATACAAAAATAACGTGAAACTTGTGATCTGATATTCATTAAAAAAACAAATCTGAAGAACATATCATTGCAAGTGTTTTTGTATGCTTGGAACTTGCTTTTCTTCTCATGCCAGATGCTTTTGGGTTTTTTGTTTTCTCTTTTTTTTCAGATGAAAAATTTTCCCACGGATGGTTTCTTCCATCCATTTGCTTTAACCAGTTTTCCCTTCTGCAACGCAGCAACGTGTTTGTATTTCATGTTACTTTCCACAGAAAACAATTACATTTCTGAATTTCAAATATGTCTGTGACCAGTATGGATTTTCCCATTCCCTTTAACTTGTTTAGAAACCATACATTTGGGGGGTTTCTTTGTTTTGTTTTTTAAATTTGCATTTGAGTTCCAGAATATTTCAGAATATGGCTCCTCCTCTGTGAAAAAATCAGCCAGTCTCAAGTTAACTGACATGGTCACCTCTTGTAAAAACACTTCATTTCCACAGAATGGATCTGTCAGCTCCCAAGAGGGTCACAATGTCATTTGAAAAGTGAAATATGGCTAAAGAATCAGCCGTTTTTACCACACTGCCCGTTTCAGCTGTCTGAAGCTGTCCTAAAGTCTTACTAGTGATCAAGTCTTCATGTCAGTAAGTTAACTGCAAACTGATTTACACTGAAACTGTGATTATTGGTGTTATAGGAGGAAATACAATAGTTTAATGCATTATTAGTCATAGAGCACTGCATTTTATAGAGATGCACCAACAGACTGACTGCTGATCATAATCTGCCAGATTTGATGCAGAATTCATTTGACCTGTGTTGCTGTTTGAAACCTAAAAAGTCAGATCTTTATCCAAGCCATGGACAACCTATTTAAAAGTAGTACTGGCGCGCGCTAGCAACATCCTTTGGTGTGAAGGCTGTTTCATAGTGAAGCAGTCTGGATAAGGTGTTCAAAATGAAATTAGAGGAAGCACAGAGCGGTGAGAAAATATTTAAAAGGAAATTACATTTTTGAAGATGCCTGAGAATTGGACTTAAAAGCAGATAACAGGAAGGCTGAACAGAAGACAGCAAAGTTGTTTTGCTTTATCCTTTTGAGCTTTCAGTATCTCTACCAGGAAACATGATGGGTTTGAAAATGTTGGCAGATTGTCAGAACTGCAGTTTTTTCTAATGGTAGCCTTGCTAACATCGACATTCACTACAATAATATGCTAAATACATATAAAAATAAAAACTCTGTATTTGTTTAATATATGGCTGAAATCAGAATCAGCTAAAATCTGAATTGACAGAATAAAATGTTAGAAAACATGAAGTTTGGAAATCAGCTAAAATCCTGATTGGTACATGCAAAGTGTATAATCTCCAGAAGAACTTCACCTAACTTAAAATATATCCACCCAAACACCAAAGTATTGCAAAGAACAATAACAATATTTTCTTTATTTTTGAAATAATATCAGATGCAGCAAACAAATATATTTATTTTTCAATCCAAGGTGGCAATATTTGTATAATTACATTCAGCCAAAACAGGAAGAAAGGTATTAAAAGAAAGAAGAAAAGAGACTGACAATTGGACAGAGGTGAGGGGTAAGGAGATGTGTTTGACTGATGCAGATGGTGAAATAAATCCCTTGTAGAGTGAAAAACTACGATATTCTAAGGTCATCTCTCCATTTACCCTGTTAGTGCCCATCTTGCCCTCTCTGTTAGGGGACTCTATATGGCTTTGCTCTCTTAAGTCTCTTGGCCTTTTCTACTGTAAGTGTTATTTTTGTACATTTCAGCCTGATGTGGGTCAAACACAGACCATGTATATCCCTCATTCACTTCCTGTTGCACTTTGTTCTCACGCCTGGTTGTGTTGGCCAGCTTTGACCCAATAATCGCTGATAGGGTGTGAGATGAGCGGTCCCCCGACCCATCTGCTTTGTTCTGAAATGGTAAGTAGGTTACAAGGTGATGGGGACACTACTACCATGTGAATATTTATGCCGGCCTCCTGCTTCGCAGTGTTTGACAGATGTTTTGATGTATTTTTATAGCACTGGTTCCCTCGGCTGATGTCACACACAAACAGTCACACATATAGTGAATCTGGAGCACTTCTCTCTGATAAGTATCCAATGTCACTGCTTGCCTGAAGCAACAAGCTAAAACTAATTGCCCAGGGACACTCACAAACAAGATGGAACATGTTGGGATAGAACGACGTGTGTCTCAATGAAGAGAATCAAGGGTTTCTTGTTGTTCTGGGCCACAAAATCTCAGACATTTTTTTATACAGAGAGACAAGTACGAAAACAAAAGTTGGTGTGGAGTTTTCTGGGACAGCTGACCTCAAAAGCTGCCGCTTAGAAACTTGTGCTGGTGATGAGGATCTAGGGACAAAGCAGGGAAAGGAGAGAGCAGATGGATTGAAGGGGAAAAAGGAGAACAAAAAACAACGGAAAGAAGAGAGAGACAGATACACGTCTCCTGAAGTTCAGTTGTTTTTGTAATTGCAGGCTAATTGCCTTTCGGCAAAGGTAGCACTAAGACGCCCACCTATTTACGTCATAAGCCTCCCTGTGGGGAAGGAAGGAGCAATTGACAGACAAAAGAAGAGCGGGAGCAAAAGACAGAAACAAAGAAAGTCGGGATGGAAGAAGGAAATGACAGGATGGTGATGGAAGGATGGAAAGGAAACACATTCATCAGGCTGTCTGGTGTATCAACGGCACATCTTCTGATTCTGTCCATGTGAGGACAAACTGTTCTCTTGGTGATGAATGAACAGAGTCACAGTTCTCAGAAGTATAAGATTCATTGCACATACATGTAGATGTGAGAATCAGAGAAAGTCCAATGTGCCTGTCTTTATTTGGAGAAGCCGCAAGGACATTCTGATAGACATGCAGAGAAAAGACATGCACACGAGATGCTCAGAGTGAGCTGATAAACAGGGGAGAAAAAAGGAGAAGGTTGTGAAACAATGGGACGGTCGCGTCATCGCGCTTGGACAAAAGCACAACCTCGCTTCGCCAGCGTTGCCCGGCTTTTAATGTCAAGCAAAAGGACAGTGACGCAGATCGGCCCTCTGCAAGCTCTCATCACTGCAGGAGATACAACAGGATTTCCTGACGCCTCTGTCTAAGGGGTACACACGACTGTGGTCCCTGTTTGAGAGGATGGGAGTTGAACTTTGGTCTTAGAGACACCAAGGAGTACGAGAGGATGTAGTTTGAGAGGTCAAAGGTGATGTATGAAAGGCACAGCTTCAATGGTTCCCCCTGAGTTTTCACGGTTTTGCCTAACTCTTAATACTAGCATTTGCTGTTTTCTGGAAATGAGGTAATGTCAAACCTTAGTTTTAGTTTAATCCATCGAAGCCAGAAAAAGTTAAGCCTCAAACAGGAGATGACCTACCTCAAAACATTGTTTTAAAGGGAATTGCTGCATTGGAGGGGATTAATTGACTGTGCAAGCTGGGAGCACTTGCTGACATCTTACGAGACACAGTCGGACACACAATTTCACAAAATCTCAAAATACAAACATACACATTGAGGCTTATTTGAACAAAAAGCATAGAAGTGGGGATCAAGTCTGTGCTTGAATTATGTTGTACTATAGAAAATGATGACTCACAAAATGCTCAGAGACCATTTTCAAGAGAAAGCCTTGAAACATGTTCAAGGGTTTCTCTTGAACATGTGCACACATGCAGGGTGAGGGTGAGAAAGGACTGGTGCTTGTACATTTAGGCATGGGCTGGTAGCAGGTTCTCAAATGATAACCTTAGTTTCACAGTGTCATGATGTTTAAGAAAAAGGATTTATACAAATAAAGCAAGATAGAACTACTGTGATTGAAATAAAAAAGCAACAGTCTATTTCTACAAATGGTAAAATAATAATGTTAGTATAGTTAATATTACTACTTCATTTTGATACAAGAGCACAAACATTTATCATATTTTAAATCATGTTAAATTATGTTTTCATGCCATCATTGGTGGCTAGCACTAACTAAAATTAGTTCCATTGACCCTAAAGCACTATTCATAAATATTAGTTCTGCTAACTCGCTATACTATAACATGGTAGTGAGCTACATTGTAGCCAGAGCTACCACCGGCTCCTCTGACAGCCACAAGTGGGCAACAATGACTGAAAGAAAGGGAGTGGGATTTGAACCAGCAACTCAAATCACATTGTTGCACATTAATACTCCAAAACCTCAGTTTATAAATGGATAACTTTTATAAAGATTGAAGCAAATGAATGCTGTTGAATGTTTTTTGGCATTTTATATGATTTGTTAAATTTTTTGTTGTGGACCTCACAGATTTTTTTAATCAAATTTTAAGCTTAGAGTATCTGTAAATTAGGCTTTATTCCTAATTTAAATATGAAATATATCAAATCAGGCCTATTAAAAGCTTGAAATGTCTAAATGAGGTCTACGTTTATCTTCAACCTTTGTTGCTCCCTGGGGAAAATATAAAGGGAAAATCAGCTAACTTTGAAAGTGTAGCTCTTTTAAAACCTTAGAATCCTGATCCTGGTAACTCATTTTAAACTTTAAAAGAAGTATGACAGAAACTTTTAGCTGGTTTGAAAGTGTAACTTTTTGGTACCATGAACCAACCCATGCCTATGTGCATGTGGGAATGAATGCATCCATGCTCTGGTTCAATGGGATTTCCTGAGTTGTATGAAAGACATTTTCTCTCAGGTACATCAACATGGAGAGGACGAAGTAGGCTCTTAACGTGTCACATTACATGCCTTTTTGCAAGCATCATAGAAAGGGAGAGTACAGAATAAAAAGGCAAAGCTTTTCAAGAGTCAACATGAGAAGAAAATATGAGTATTTAGAAGTTATTAAATAAACAAAAAACAAGCTCTTCATAAGGATAATGATAAATGGCAAAAAACCATATCACAGTATCCTCTTTTGGAAAAAAAGGAACATTTCACATTTGTATTGTTTTTTTGTTGTTTTTTTCCCAGTAGACTATATCACACAGTGATAACAAAGAACAGGAGAAATCTACAGCCACATTAGCTTCGTGCAAAGACCACATACACTGGCACGCCGCATAGGCAAGGAGATCAAAGCAAGACAACGCATACAAAAATATAGAAAAATCTCCAAATGCAACCTATCTCTGCACAGGAAAATAGGTTTCTGTCGCTTGTTGCCAAACATCTGTTGTTGAGGCGCCACTTCAGGAACTCTCTCTGTGTTTCCTGTGTCCCTGCTGCGAGTTTTTATTTTTCAAGAGCAAAGGTCAGGTTTCCTCCACAGAAAACACCGGGGAACACCGAGCGGCTGTTCATCAATATGCCAACTGTCCATCATGATGGTGACATGAACAACAACATGACTGATAGAAAACTAGTACATCCAAAGCATATCATTTCGGTCATATCATTTGGAACACATGATTTTTTTTTTAATACATATCATTTCCTGTCACTTTGAAGACATTCCAGCATTTGCTCATAATTGACAGTGACAGGGTTAAATAGTTTGGCATACTCAGCAAGCCATGCCCAGAAGGATGCTATTCAGTCTCTTGCAAAGAATGGGGGAAAAAGGTTAGGAGATGAGGGATGGGGTGAGGACAGGTGCCAGGATGCAGTGTCAGCCTGCTCACTCACGAGACAGGGAGAGAGGGGCAGGGGTGATACAGCACAGCTGAGATTACAAAAACGTGCTCAAGCCCAGGTCAGCCCATTGATTTCAGCGCTTGCAAAAAAACATGCAGATATAAGTCAGAGGTTTGGACTCTTGGTCAATCCGTCTGACTGGAGCAGAGTCCTTTCACCGCACCGAAGGAAACACAGCCGAAAAACTGTGGGCATCATACCCGAGAGTTAGTCCCTGGACTGACCGTGCCTAGTCCAGCCATCACTGTTCTCACACTGATGAAAAAGGATTGTTTGGACGCCTTCAAAACAAAAAAAATTTCATACGTGGAATGGAGACAAAGCACTTAACGGATGGAGAGGAGAGCTGAGTTGCTGCGAGTGTAAGGCAAGGACAGATGATTTACGCATCATTCAAAAGGTTCAAATTGTCCAGACACCGTGAAAAAGAGGGGATGTTGTCACTGACAATGAAGAAGCCCCTCCCCAAATACTGAGATGAGAAAAAAAAAGGAGTCATTGGTTGTTCGGCTCTTCTGCTCTCTCCTCCAGCTCCTCCTCTTCCTCTTCCTCGTCAAGGGAGACAACCCCTGAGGAGGCCACGTCGGACACCCTCCTGTATGGGTCGTAGTCAGGAGGGTACTCCACCCCCTGGCCCTCCACCTCCTCCTGGCACACAGTGCCTTCATAGTCCTTGCAGGGGGTGTCATCATCCTCACCCGGTGACAGATACGTTTCAGAGTAAGACATGGAGTAGCAAGGAGAATCCTGACCTCTGTAGGACCTGCTACCCCGGCCGCCCCCACTCAAGCTGTGAAAGCCACAGTCTCCCCCACCAGGCCCACTATGTCCCACCCTCTGAAGTTGGGCCAGCAGCTCCTCCCCTCCGTGCAGCGCAGACAAGATCTTTGCAGCAAGTTCAGCTGCGTTGTTTTGGGCATGATTACCACAATGAGTCCTCAGATCGCGGAGCAGCGGGTGTTGCTCATCTAGGCTGCAGAGGCTGGAGCAGAGCGTGTCCGGAGACCCCGCCGTGGGGGAGGGCTCTCTGCTGCCAGCCCCCTCGCCGATCCCTCCTCCGCTCTCAGAACAGGGCCTTCGCATGCCCAGGTGCTGGCAAAGCTGGCTGTGGATCAGGTCCTTCAAGTACGGCGGATAAGATGACAGTTCTAAAGAGAACAACACAAAGTGTAAGCACCAAGTCTTTAAAGAACAACGACATAGTAAAGAGGAGGTAAAGCTAATACCTTTTTTGGGATGTTGAAATAAGAAACATGTATACCTTTTAAACAACTCCCAGAGAAGACTAGAGTCTCAAACTCTAGTCTTCAAGAGTCGGAGTCCTGCAACTTTTAGATGCGTCCCTTGTCCCACACACAGGAATTAAATGGTGAAGCTGCCTCACTAGCATGCAGTCAAGTTCTACTGACCCAGGCTAATGAACCAATATTGGAGTCAGGTGTGCTGAAGCAGGGAGACATCTAAAAGGTGCAGCATCAGCCCTTGAGCACTGGAGTTTGAGACCATAAAATGCTGCAGCTTTTGGACAAATGTACATTTGTTTTCTTTGTATCTCAGGATTCACATCAGGATTTCATGAAGATAAAAATCCTAGAATCAAAACAAAACAGTATTAAGACAAAGTTTTTTTTGCAAAAGTATTCATAATCTTTGAAGCCCATTATACTAATTCAAAATATCTTTTATTTTAATGATAAAACACTGGGAGCCTTGAAAGGCAGCTGTGAAGTAAAACTGGAGCTTCAAGAGTATTAGCAACTTGGCTTATATTTCCTCAAGAGTCTATTGTCATCACACACAGGTTTGCATGTGTGAAATCCAACTAAATATGGTCTGCCAGAAGGTAAGAAGCTACTGGTGAATATATGAATGTTATTATCTGCAGTGCAGTGCATTGGCGGATGTGTGTAATGAAGATGAAAGCTCTGGTGCACACACTGCTGAGTGCCTTTATAACCCACTAACACACAATGCCCACACAGAGGCTGCTCTGCAGCAGAGGAAATGGTATTAAACTTGCAGGAGGGTGTATCAAATTGCGAAGACAAACAGAAAAATGTCAGGAGAGGATGAAAACTGGGGCACTGGGACAAAGAAAGACAAAGAGAGAGGGGGAAAGAAAAGAGAGATGGATATGGGAGAGGGTGTCTAATTCAGCTTTGAATCAATGAGGTTTGATTTAGCTGCTCTGTGTGTGTATGGATGCGTGCGTGTGCGCGTGTATTTACCTGTGCTCTGTGTGGTGGGCTCGCTGGCAGGCAGAAAGTCTTCATCGTATGAGTCATCATTGGACTCGTCGCCGTCCACAGAGGACCAGGCCCTCAGTTTAGCCTCGGCGATGGCAAACTGCTCTGCCACGCCTGCAGATACACAAACGGTAGACATGAGCTCGTACATGCACACAGGCAATTACACGGTTGGCATGGTAACAAGGAGGCTGCATTGTGCCTCGGCGTCGTCTGCTGCCTGACTGACAGATCTGCGTGAGGTTCGGTGCACAATGTGGCATTAGAGGGGACACACAACAGCATTCCCAATACAGTCGGGGTTTGTCAGCCGTCACCTGGCTGGTGCAGTTAAGATGGATGTCGCTTGGTGTTTAGTTATGCTCCATCACTTTGAGACCGTGAGCTGGAGGAGGTACAGAAGAGAAGCGCCAGCTCAACATGTGAAGGAAATATTAGTTAAAGCTAGATGTGTGTGTTTCTAGTTTATATAAGGGTTTCATCTCTTGAATCCTTTCTAGAAAGGATTTATGGTGACAAAATCATAAGGCAGAGGAGTGAGGAGGGTGAAACACATTTACTTGTTCCTGCAGTTCCAAAGCATTTAAACCAGCCTAATAAAACAGTCATCAGTTATCAATGTCAATAATTCTACAGGCCCAGATTGGGCTGAACATTTCATTAGTCTTTAGCTTAGAATTAAACATCAGCTCCAAAGGCGAGATTAAATAGATCAACTCTTTATTTTTGTTCCTCACTTAAACTAGGCTGATAAATCTATCGGTTTAATGACTGCAGATTTTAAAGAACAAGCGTTCATCACCAACTGGTCTGGTTCTGTCAGGGCATAACATTTACAATTTACAAGCATAAGCATGCTATATAAGTGAAAAGCCAAGAGATATTTGTCTCTCTGTGTGTATTTATTGTGTAACTATGGCTCCCATGAATAGCCTTTAAGATTGGAGTGACCTATCTTCTCCACTCCGGAGCAGCTGCCAGTCAGAGACAGGAAGTCACTCACTTGTTTCCTTAATGTCACCCTGCTCCCCCTCCTTCTTCCTACCTGCTCTGTATTCGCCCCTGTTCTCCTCCATGTCCTCCAATCATCTCTCTCAATAAAATTCTCCATCGAATCAGCTGGCTCTCCTGATTCCTCATGTTCTCTCTTTTTCTCCTCCCCGCAGTCTTTTGGCCCTGTCGCTTTCCCCTCGTTTTGGTTTTTCTCTCCTCAGTCTTCATCTCTTTATGTCTCCCTGTCGGTCTCTTCAGCTCAATGCTCAGTATTCATGCGACGTTTCCCACAGGGAGAGAGATCGATGCTCCCATTCATCCCTCACTGTGGCTGGACCCTGAACGCTCCTCACAAACAGCAGCACGTCCTCCTACAGACAGAGCTAAGCTGTGCAGCTTGAGCTTCAGATCTAGAATGTAGCCATTCACATGCTGTTAACATTCATTTTAATGTCACTACTGCACATAACTAATAAAAAGAATTTAATAGTTAAGAGTGGGCACCCACATAAAACACATTTTGCACTTCACTGTGTGCAACTCTTACATGATGAAATGGAGGAGGTGTTCTGCATCAATACTATTTTTCATCCTGGTGTGTGAAGGAGTGTGTTTTCAACCATATTCAGTTGTGACACATTGTGTTCACAGGATGATATCCCAGCTTTCTTGGACTCAAATGTTTGGGAGAATAGTAACAACACCAGTGAGGTTAGCTGTTTTCAGCCAATCATTTTTTTTCTGATCTGAACATTTTAAGATGGAGGACCAGCAGTGTTGTGAACCTGCTGATATCACATTACCAGCATCTTGCTGTCGTCAGAGATAAAGCTTTTTTTTTGAGAACCAAAACTGACATGGTTGACAATTGAAATAAAAAGATAAACCATTTTTAGTTCACATAGGAATACCAAAATTATTTACAATATTATTACCAAATGTCACAAAATGAGAGAGAGAGTTTCCCATTACTTCTTAAATATTTGGTTTTCGAAATTGTTTGACTGGTATTTAGATTATCAACAAACATCAACAAGTCTTACACATACATTTACAGAAAACATAATATTTTCATTCAATTGATCACTGTCTATTTTTGCAGCTTTTGGAAAATTGTTGCTTTTCTAGATAATTTAAAATCAATTGTACATGCAGATACCATAATACAATAAAACTGGTATTCTTACTCAATATGCTATACATTATCCTACGAGCAGTTGCCTGGCTGTGTCAGTCACTGCATATCTGTCTCTTTCATTCATCTCTTCATTCATACAAAGTGTAGAGTAGAAGTATTTGTCTCAGTATTTCAGCAGAACATCACCGCCTGCATGTTCAGTTCCCTGGTTGCCTCCCACACAGACACTCACAAACAGTATACCAGAGTGTGTTCTGGCTCACTCACACACACCCAAGCACACCAAACACTTATCACATTTTTGCACATGCTGACTTTATTCTGTAACTTGAACACGAATGTTAACTCACCGTCACGGCATCAGTGGATTGCAACTTGACAAAAATAAGAGTCAGCACAACTGGCAGCAACTCAATGAAGTGGGCGCCACTGATGATGCAAAGTGAAGAGACGGCTCTGTGCACTTAATGTTTGCTTGTTATTTTTCCTTTTAGATACCTGAATATTTTCAATAAAAACTTACGAGTTAAGTAAAAATATTTCTTCGTTGTGTCTTTCAGCAGGACAGTGATGAAAAACATATGTCTAAATGAAATGTTTTGCCATGTATAAAATCAAGCTTTCTCCATGGTGATCTCTGACCTTAGACATCAATACTACAGAAAACCTGTGAGTTGAACTGAAGTGATGAGAGCATAACAGAGGATCATTGAGTCAGGATTGTCAAGAAATATTGTGAAGAATAGTCAAAAAGCCTGAAATGGCATTGAAGAAAAATGCGTCTAAGTGCTTAATGGTGCCAGTAATTGGACCACCAGCCATTTAGTGAGCAATAATGACTTAAGATGGGATTTTCACCTCCTACTGAACAAAAAAACTTGAATAAATAGCTGGATTTTGAGACTACACTTTTCATGCCGTACATCTTTACCAAAGCGACAATAAAAGTCCTTACATCTGTGAAGGGAGAATAATAATAATAGTTGATTAATGTGTTAAGAGAGGGGTCTAAAAGAGCAGAGATCTCCTGTAACTGATCATACCCTAAAGATTAAAGCACAAGGGAGCAGAACAGAGAAGGCATTGGGGAAAATTGCTCAGTCACGGCAGCACTAGCCAGGGGCAAAACCTTACTGTGCAAATTAACCTTGAGAGTCTGCATTGCAGGGACAGAGCAAAAAAAATGGATGGAGAGCAGACGGCAAGTGAAAACGACTGTAAAAGAGGTGTTACAGAGGGCAAAAAGGAGCATTACAAGGAGGGACAGCGTGGGTAGAAGAGCACAAAGATGAAATAATGAACAGAAAGGGCAGGAAGGATGAAAGAAAAGTCAGAGACGAGGTTAGTGGGTAGCAGAAAGAGGACACAGATGTGCTCTAAGTGAGTGCTTTCAAAGATGAACAAATCTTAAACAGTCTGAATAGGGGGAAGAGTTAGGGTGAGAAAAATTCAATAAAGTCAGTCTTTAAAACAATGTGTAAAATGCATGTTTGTTCTGTTCCAAAAAATTTATGGAGTGAAAAGTTATTTTTAAAATTCTTACATGGCAACACTTTCTTTGACTGTTTTACATGAAGGCCAGCATGCACAAGTGCATTATAAGCATCCCCAGCATTTTTATAATGCAGACTTATATCTGTGTTGCATAACATCTTAATCTATCCATATATAATGAGATATTTTATATAACCATTTTTTACAAGTCGAAAGCTTAACAGGTTTTTTAACTATGAACCAACATGGCTGTAACATATAGCAGCCTATTAATTCTAGGCTAAAGAAATTATTTCCTCCTTTTTCTGCACTGAACAATGCTGCAAAGTCTTTATAGCAAACATCCATCTGCTGACACACCAAGGCCACTGACACACATCTTAAGAATCTAATTTAGTAAATTATATGGATCATTTTTCTTAAATCTCTGACTCAGTGGAGTTTTTTGTCACAGCCTTGCGAAGTACTGTAACGTAAAGCTGTAAAATACTGCATGCTACAGATGATGTCAAACAAGTATTAAGATCATTCAAAAATATTAGGGGAAATATGAATGCAGCAGAAGTTTATGTTAACATGTAATGTCTGTGTATTTCAGTTGATTCAACAAAGTCACCTGACTCTGTTGATACGTGAATCTGGCTGAGATCCAATAACAATAGTATGTAAGCCAATCCAATAGTGAACATTGATTTCTACAAGCGCCGGCCTTTATGACATTAATTTAGATTAATTAATTAATTAGATTTAAATGTGTTAAAACATTTTTCGGTACAATGAATTGCATTTCTTTGACATGTGTTAGTATCTGCATGTTTCTGGTGGGCCTGTAGGTCCACAAGCAACATTAAAAAAACTATTGTTGTGTGCAAGTTGTGCAAAAAGGAGTTAGCCTATTACTGAAGCTATTCCAACCTAAAACACCATCTCAATGTCAAACATGTAGGAGTAAACACAGACATCGCCAATGCTAATGTCAGCATCCACAGTATTTATTAAACATATCTCCACATAACTGTTAAAACAACCATAGCATCGTTACGGTCACAAGAGTTTGTTTTTTGTAAATATGCTCATGCAACCTATGACTTGGAGCAGAGTGCAAAAAAACACATCCATCAAATAGAGAACTTAAAGATTACCAGCTGCAAAGCGTGCCTCTTGCTCTCCCTCAGTGAGATCAGAATAAGAGTTGAAGTCTGACTCCAGAGCTGCCGGAGTGTCCATGGGCTTGCACCATCCCTTCCACTCTATCAGATGGGCTACTCTGCCCTGAGCCATGGCTGTAGGCTTCGTCACATGGTCCTTGACCACCTGTGAAATACCTGCAGGACACGTATATCAGGAGTTATTCTAAATCAGGTCCAGTATGTGCATGCAGAGTATGTTTTACTGTATTACAGCAAGTTGTTTTTATGAACCGTTGCACTTACCATGCAGAGAAGATCGCGCTAGAGCAGCAATCTCTTGAATGGTGAGAGCTCTTCTTGATTTTGGTAACATTTCAACGGTGTCATCAACATTCACCTGAAATGAAGAGAAATAAATGAGTGGGTCTTGAACTTGCTCAGGAGCTCAGCAGAAATGTGAGCCACATCTCAATACCGCCTGCTATGACTCAGAGGAAAACCCTCTGCTGCCTGGTTGGTGCAAAGAAGAATCTTGTTGTTAAAGTAGCAGGCATACTTTAATGTTCTTTAAAAACTCAGGAATTTTCTTCACTATCCACAAATACGCACACTTTCACACACACACACACACACACACACACACACACACATAATCTTGATAAGTCACAGGCAGAGGGTGTGAAACCAATTTGCACAAGCAGGGACACATTCCTACTTACTTGTATTGCTTTGTGAATGCAGTTCTTTGCTATGACATTCACACCACTTGTATATTTACACATTTTATAAGAGTGGAATGTGACACAGTTATGTGATCGATGAACACAAAGTAATAAATCCTGCCATCATTATAAAGCAATATCTGTCAGCTTAGCTAGAATATCTAGAAATCTCAAATGGACTTGAGTCTGGACTTTGAATGGACCATTCTAACACACTGTAGCACATTAATAAAGATTATTGCTTCGAAGCTTGAGCTGCATTGTCTTACTTCCATCCATCTCCCTATTAACTCTGATTGTAGAAAAGAACCATCAGAGCAAGATTTTGCCATCACCACATTTCAGTGTTAGTTTCCCACTGTTTTCATGTTGAGCAAAAAGTAATACATATTTTTTGTGCTGGCTGTGATCATGGCAGAGGCTTGCCACTCTTCCATGAAGGCTAGATTGACCATTGGCTTCTTGCCTGTCTGCTGTGTGCCATGATCTTCATGGTGCAGTTTGTTCTCTAACAAAAGGTGGACTCCATTTACTAATTAGATGACATATAATGCACATTAGTTGCACTGGATTCTGTTTAGATACACAAGAGTGGAGTGGACTGAATAAAAATAAATTTAATATAAGAGCTTAATATGAAAAATATGTTGAAAACAGCAAGAGATGTACTTAAATGTATTGTTTCATATAATTGAAGCCACAAGTATTCATCAATGGATTGATGAGCCCATTGTTGCCACACGTTTTCTTAAACTGTAGACTAATTAGCAAACCTGCAGTTAGTTAAGGTAACAGTGATCATCCTTCTCGGATTACAAATTGTTGTTATGTTATACAGACGCACACGTGAAAGGCAAGCAAAATATAAAAAGGGCACGCAGTTACATAGATTGGTTTATTTTTGCACGCTATCCACACCCTGCGCCATCCATGCAAACTGATTGGAACTAAATGGGCCTGGCAATTAAAAAACAAAGGATACAGCTCAGCATCCAAACATTGTCTCACAAAGAATTCAAGATAAGCAGACAGGAGACAAAAGACTGACGCCATCCATCACTCCCGCCAGGCCTTGAGCTCTGTAAAGTCAAACCACAGAATGAGTATCGGGTGTTGACGAGTTTCTTTGTCTGCGAACTCTTCATGTCCTCACGTGAGGGATGGACACATCAACAGTAGTCAAAAGCCTTTTTCTAAGCGGGCTCTTCCATGTCATTAATGTGGGTCAATGCAGTCAGGCAGAGTGAATGATGTGACGGAAGAATATTTCCACAAGCAGTGACCGTGTTTATTTGCGGCGGTTTATTCTGCAACGGGAAGAATTTCAAAACGCTACCAGAAAAATCTGAAGCTGGAAGGTCAAAAGAAAGGAAAGAAGGTTGAAAGCAGCAAGGAAAGAACATAGGAAGTATCAAGGAGGAAACAAGAAAGAAAAGGAGGTTAGAATACATAGATAGTGGAAAAGTGACTAAAGTCTGGAAAAATAAATAACTTTCTGAATCAGGAAAGCACTAATTTGACCCTCCTGGAATTCTCCAGACTATAATATTGAAACCCTGCTGACCCAGGTGTCTGAGTTTATTTGAAAGAAACATTCCTCTTTATTTGAAAGAAACATTCCTAAATGTTTGGATGCTAAGGTGTATCCTTTGTTTTTCTACTAATAACTCCTCACAAAGTTAACTCGAAAACTGTTGAGTCACTCTAAAGTTAAATCCTATTTCCCCCATTCTCATTAATAGTCACTGCCGACTGCCGCACTGGTAATTCATCTGCAGACACAAGACACAAATAATTAACCCAGGTCATCACCCTGTCTTTGACCTTTCAATTCCTCCTAATAAAAACAAAACAGCGGCCTGAATAACAAACAACTAGCAGAATGCTCTTGAAGAAAAGCCCTACACCATTAATGGGGATCCCAAGCTTGAGATCGTATCGCCTGCTGCCCAGAGGCGGGATAATCCTCTTGTGCTGCAGAGCAGCTCGCACATCTGAGGGGAGGAAAATCTGGAGGAGACGTGACACGTAGCCAGGACGAGTTTGGGGATGATATATTCTGCTTCGTCTTTTCTAAAAATTATCTTAACCGAGTATTTCATTTGTTTTCAAGGTGTACAGCTGAACAACAACAAAAAAAAACATTTTCACTGTGTTGCAGGTGGTATTAATGGAAACCTGCTGTCTTTTTCTGGCAATCGCATCAACATTTTTCATCCCTTTTGTTTTTACAATAGAGCAAGACAAGATCAAGACCACAGAACATAATTGGAAACAAGTATCTCACAGCATGCACGAAAACAGTGATCTATTTGAAGTTTTATATCCACATTAAGTAGTATATAGACGTATGAATTATTTAAGGTGAGCAGAACCCTGAGCTTGTGGGTCATCTTTCTTTGGCTGACTCTGCTCTTCCTTCGATTCCCTCCCACCTCTGCTTCTCCCACTGCCCTACTGAACTGCAGAGCGACCAGAACGGGAAACACATGGGCTGCACTCAGCAGACACAGAGCTACAACAAGACAATCGCAGTGCATCTATTCACACCAAATTCTCATATTAATCATTAGAATAGAAATGAAACTGTCTCTGCCTGAGAAATTCAAAATTCAGCATTTGTCTTTAACCCTCCTGTTATGTTGTGGGTTAAATACACTCTGCATTACTCATTTTAATGTGTGGGTCAATTTGACCCTGACAAATTGTGTTTCAAGTTCAATTATAAAGATCACCCATAGAAAAAAAAAATCTAAATGTAATGTAAAAAATGTTTACAAAAGATAAATTTCAAGGAAATTATTGTTTTCTGTGATTAGGTTTCTTTCAGTGGACATAATGATGACAACTTACTCATTTACTCATTTGGACATAAAAAAATGGAATTTAATTTTTTTTATGTCCAAATGAGTAAATGAGTAAGTTGTCGTCATTGATCCTTTGTTTTAGAGAAATAAAAAATAAAAAACATCATTGCACAAATATTGATTGAAATGGTTTATATTGGAGTTAACAATCAGACACAAAATTGTTTTGGAGGATTTTTTTGGTTTCTGACACTATTGCATAATTAAACTCTTCCCAGGTCAAATTGGCACATGCACATTATTGCTGTACCTCAGAAACAAACATAACAGGAGAGTTTAGCCAATATTCACAATTACAGAGTCTTTCCAAAATCCCTTTTCATCAAAAATCTATAAATTCCAAAAAGCCCATGGTTACTTTAGAGGAGCTGCAGAGAGCCACAGATCAGGTGGAAGAATCTACTAAGAGTCAGGCAGTCCACAAGCCATGAAGGGGACACAATACTGAAAAACATTTAACTTTTTGGTAAAAATGCAAAGCACTATAGGAAAAGCTAACACCGCACATTGCTGTGAATATTCTCACTCTGACACAGAGGTGGCTTTATTATGCTTTGGGATTTCTTTCAGCAGAATGTCACAATTGTTATTGTCACAATAACAAATTTTGCTGGATGGTAGATTGTCCTGGTAATTACTGTGATGATTGATAATATTATGATTTGAAACCATTTTCAACTAATAGCTGTCTAATGGCATAATTGCTTATTGTGACAGGCTTATTTGTAATCAGGCAAAATATGAAAAAGTTCTTGGGATATGGAAATTTTTGTCTTTCATAAAGACTTGGTGCTTTTCATAAAATAATAAATTCTTTATGTGGTTTTCACATACATAACTTATCATATAGTAGGCAATTAACAGTTCGGGTAGAGACTGAAAAGAAGGAGATTGTTTTGTTTTTTTTGTTTTTTTTTTATCATTTTTCCAAATTCTGCAGCTTTAATTAGTGAAACATTCTCTTGCTTCCTATTCAGCAAACATCAACTATGTGAAACAACAATGCTTCTTTATCCAGAGGCCCTTTCTCCTGCTGTAGGGAACCACTATTTGGAAGCCATTAGGCCAAACTATCTGAGAAGGAGAGCCGCATGCAGATATCTGTTTCATGCTGTGGAAAATAATGGGAGGATCTTTATTCTCCACCAGCGTAGCACATTTCTAGCATTCTCTCCCTATTTCTCTCCCTCTCAAACCCTCCCCCCTTCTCTTAACTTTCCCACAATTGGAACATTTCTATGGCAACCAGTCACCATGGAACAATTCCTCTCTGCATGCATGTGTGGCTGATGTGCCGATGACGTCGCAGACGAGAAACATCGGCGGACAACCAACCGCTACAGCTGCCGCCACTGCTCTCTGTGAGATCAGAGATCCTGGGAGGAGATGTGCATTGTGTAGGAAACAATCGGCCATCAGAATGCATCCTTACATCAAAGACGCAGCATGTCTGTCTAGGATTGAGGGAAATGGGAGGCATCACAGAGCGCCACCGCTGTGATGCAGGAGCTCGGCAGTCTAGCCAACTCCTCTTTCACGGAGGCCAGTGTTCAATAGCGTATCTCCTCCCCTTTCCAGAAGGAGGCAGAGGCTGGATGCATGTTCCTAATGGATCACTTAAACGTTACTAATCATTGCCTGGCTGGCTCACTGCACTACGTCAGACTCACAGATGGTGTGCAAAGATAAAAGGAACAGGTGGAGAAATGATCATTTATACAATCATCATCATCATCATCATCTTTGTGCAGGTGATAAGCAGTTGTTTATGACCACATGTAATTAAAGAGATGTAGAACTGTAGGGGGAAATGTCCTCTTGATTGCTGACGAAATCACTCAGTTTACATACAGTGTAGAGATTTATTGATTTCTTCTACCAACACTTTTGTGCCAAAGATTTTGTTTATTAAGGGTAAAAAAGCAATTCAAAACAAACTGACCCACATGAGAAAGTAATCGCTCTCCTAAACCTAGTAACTGGTTGAGCCATCATTGATAGAAACAACTCCCATTTAGTGTTGGCAGTGAATCTTTTTCACTGTGAAAAGTTTCGACCTACTCCTCCTTGCAGAATTGTTAGAATCCTTCCCCAAGGTTTTGGGGAAACGTGTTAAATATCCAAGTCTATTTTAATACAAAATCATGGATGCTGAGCTTTAATGAGGAGAGTAAGGCCTGCAGTGTGTCAAAGGTTCTTGTTTTTGGGTGCTGCTGGAGAAATTGTCAACATGAACTCCGGGGAAGGCTTACTATTGTCACATGTTTACGCCATTTTTCAGTAGCAGCTCTCACTGGAGTCCCAAAGGCTTAGAAACAGTTTTGGGACTCTTTTCAGGCTGATAAAATATCAATGAGGGCATTGGAGCAGACCACATGCCTCCTAAACACAACTCAAGTTAAACTGACTCTTGTGACAAAGAACGCTACATCACACTTAAATCTTTATATTAAAAATAACTGTTGATTATGCTAGATGGAAAATAAATAACTGGAATCAACTGGTTCATGTTGATAAAAAGCAATGAAAAAAAGGGAAAGTGAACCCGAGGCTAAGATGCATTTTCAAAACTTGGATGGCTTTGTTAATATGGTAATTATTCAATTTGGAAGGTTGGGAAAATTATTTCCCGCTTCATACAGAAAGACTCTCATCTTTGGTTACAGCCATCTGGAGAGTGTATGAGAAGAACATAATAAAGTGTATAGCAAATAGTCTTCAAATCAGATACAGTCTTTGCCATTCCAATTGTATCCACACCACAATTTGTGTTATATTCCATATTTAATGGCATTTTTAAACGAGAAAAAAAATATGGAAGAAGGAGTTTTGGTTTAATTAGACAATAATTACACTTTATGACCTACTTGCAAAATTTTGAGTGAGATAACTAAAATTGCAAATTGACAATGAACAAACACCATCCTCACATTAAAACATGGGCAGCATTTTCTCTGCAGGGACAGAGCTTATAAGAAGGTGGATGGGGATAAAGAGAGAAAATCTAAAGCTTTCTACAAATAAAATGTTTCTACAAATTGTTGTTGACTGAGAAGCAAGGTCGCATTTTAGATGATGATTCGTCAATATTGTGGAAAGTCAATGTATGTTTTTTGGGGGGGTTTTCCACTTCACAAATATGCATTATTTTTTTGTGGCTCTATGAATTTATAAAATCAACAAAATACATTTGCAGTGTAGTAGTGGAACTAGTTAGCTTAAATTAGTTGCTCTTGTCAAGTTTATGTTCTGTAGAATCACAACAATAAAAGTTTTACTTTGATTAAAGAGAGAATTCAGGGCACCTCGCTGAAGTCCAGAGCACCCAGAGGTGCACCGAGTATCAGTCTGCGCACCATGCAGGTCCGCGTGCTCCCCAGGAGCCTGACATCAGACATGGAACTGGACGCGCTCCAGTCCACACGCAACGAACCATCAACCGCCACTGTCAGGAGGGAGAGAGCCACGTGAAGGTCACAGCAAGCACGTGGTTTAAAACTCATAGTGGCTCTGGACTTCGTTCTCACTCCAAAACCTAATAAAGGTCTGCATTTGAGGATTGGCAGAGCATTTAAAAGTATTCACAGGGTTCATAGTTAACAGTTTGTTTGTTTGTTTGTTTTTTCATTAGAGCAAGAATCAGCCATCCATGAGTTTTAAGTTAACCATATTTACTGCTTTAGAAAAATGCTTTAAACTCCATGCCTCCATCAGGAACTCAGGGCAGTCAAAGCAATGACCAAAATGGAGCCTGATGGTGTCTTATCTCACTACAGTCTCACTGCAGTCCCTCCGAAGCAAACCATTCACCAACTACTTGACTCGATAGGGGATAAAACATTTTGTTTCAATCAGCTCTTGTCTGTTTAAATGAGGAGTCGGATTGTATCATTTTTATGCTGTAGGCACGTGCAAAACCTGTTCAGGTTTGTTGTTTTAGAAAACTCTTCATGTGTTTCTGAAATGTAGCATTCTGTATGTGTAGCTGGTCATAAGTTGAAGTATGCTTATTATTGCGCCTTATCTAGTAGAGACTGTGGGCTGTGTAGTGAGATAATTTGCTGAGGGGTGACTTCCATGCACCTTTTAAACCATGCTGTTCATGCATTAAGCACCTTAACCGATTCTTCTTGATAATCCAAAGGTTTTTTAAAAGTGGGAGTTGTTTGAAGTAAATATTTGTCTGTTATAAGCAATATGACAGATTCTTTCAAAAGGAAAAGGAGCTTCTACTGAAAACTTTACAGTTTTCACTGGAAATATCCAAACCATCCTTTTGACCTTTAGGAGCGCACATTTCTTGTTAGTCCAATTCTTCCTGCAAACATCACATAACAACCAACACATTTAAAACATCACGTTAAATATGCCGTGAGTCAGTCTCCTCTCAATGTGACACAATCCACAGTCGACCTATGAGTGCTCATGCACTGCACAATAAGAATCGAGTTTCCCATCCGCTGAGCATTTCAGCACCTGGACAGTTCCCATAGGCCACATGCTCACGCTGCCTCCAGCCTCTGTGCTCACCCTCATCAAATCAGATTTGGAAAAAAACAAGATTAGGCGAGGTGAGGCTCTAAATGTCAGTGCCGAGCTTTCCTTTCTAGCCCTCTGCGGGCAGCCGTTTCTGGTTACTGTCCGTGAAAAGAACAACTCGCTCCATTAGCCACCAGCACCAAACTCAAACACCGATGACTGATCGCTAAGCCAATCCCTGCATCCCCCTCCTGTCTGGTCAAAGACTTACCATTTAGCTCCGTCAGCTCAGGTTGCCCACCTGGAGGATTCAATGTGTGCCATTTAACTGGGTGTGATGAGATCAGTTGCCTAGGATGTATTGTGTTGAATCTAAGCCATCTCAATGAAAGTAATTGTGAAGAGTAAGAGATCCTCACATGTTTTCTACAGCAGTTTCCAAAACATGGCGATCACTGCCAATACCACTTACCCCTTTACAGACACAGATACATTTACTAGTAAGAATCTATAAGAGGCTTTTATAAGAGGCATTTCCTGAGGTTTAAATAGGACATGACACAGTGGCTGATGCATTTCAGCCTCTGGCTGTTGGCTGGACAACTGCTTATACTCATCTTGTCACCATGGACTGTCAGCACAAATGCTAAGCAAAATAAGCAAACCTCAATAACTGCAGCATAAATGGCATCCTGGGGTCTCCATAACAACCATCACAACTGAAAACCAGTTGCACAGGAAGACATTTTCTGTCCTACCATCATAAACATAAACATGTGGAGTTTGATAAACTCCACTCCTTACTAGTAAATTGATACGAACATAGCACCAAATGAACTCTGAAATGGTTCACCAGAAACAAAGTCAACATTCTTCCATGACCAAAGCGGTTTGAAGACTCGAATCCTACAGAAAACCTGTGGGAGGAGCTGGTGAGCAGGGACTGTAATCGAGGACTCTAGAAGAAAGATGTGCAAAGCTGAATGGCTAAATATCTTTATTCTATCCAGGTGACAAAAAGGTTTTCACAACGATCTGTTAACTATGTATCAACTGTGACTTGGATTTGTTCCTGAAACGTAATTTTATGAAATCAAATCAATTTTTTTAATTTTCTGCTTATATTTATTTCGAGGATTTGCTTCTGCAAAAAACAATGAATGTAGCTATTTAAAGAATTTCCCCACATCTTTAAAAAAAATACCAAACACTTCTTTGAATCTGTGCCATGTGTGCCTTCTATGTTGTCACGACGGCAACAGGCTGTATGAAAGATGCACGAATTTATCAGGAATCTCCTCCAGCGGAGAGGACGGAGGTCGGTCTCTATCACTCCGATATTCCGCTAGAACAAGGATGCGCTTTAAGCAGCTCCCGGGGCTGTGGATCATTGATCTGAATAAATCAATATTTTGATCAAACGGGCCTCCAACTAAAATGGACACAATTGTAAACAACCTCGTTCTTTTGACTGAAGTCTGTAGCTGTGAAGTAAATTCAGTCGTTTTGATTCTGATCTCAGTTCTGGCGTTAAGAAGCGCTTCGTGCAGTTTCTGTTGTCGTGGAAACTGCAGGAAGGGAGACCTCGGCTCGGCCGTGACGCAGTCCCCTCCTCTATTTCTATGTTTCCCCTCCTGTCTTTTGCACTTTCTGGCCATCAACCCCACTAGGTGTAGCTGTACGGCGGTAGAGTGATGCTATCACACATGCAGAGCAGCAAACAGGTGGCTGCTGTTCGCTGCCAGGCTGCATTGAGACGTGCGAGCGCCGGAGCTGCTGCTCGTTCTGGGTTTCTGAGACTGATGGACACGTCCTTACGCACTGCGTGACAAGGAGACAGGCTGTCACAATCTCCATCATGGGTGTGATCAGTTTGGATTAAACGGTTGTAGGCAATTAAAGGTCGCGGGAAAGTCAGAGAGAAAACAACGTCTGTGTTTGTTTATTATTAGATGGGAGCAATGGATCGATGATGTGGGTCGAGTCTGATGTTTGATTTCACGCGTGGAAGACAGGCGTGATCGTCTGGGTCTGGGTGACAGACAAAGGTCCGCGGAGAAACTGAGGTTGCCAGGTTGTTTCCTGGCAGCCTTCAACCAGTAGGTGCATAAATTAGGATAAAATGATGATATTTTAAAGGTTCTTAACTTAAACTCCTGGAACAACCGAGAGCGTCTCTAGTCCTATAAAACTCCGGGGATTTTGCATCAATGCAGGAGCAAAGAGAAGAAAAAGAAGAAGAAGCGTGGTCCTACCTTGCAGCTAAACTGGGTCAGCGCGGTCAGAACCATGGTGTCAGGATGCGCCTTTCACGAGCCTAACAGTCGTTTAAACAGTGCATCCATCCATGGTGTCAGCAGCTCCTCAGTGTGTGCGCTTCTCACCAGCGTGCTCCCCTAACAGCGTCTCGCAACTCTCGTAGCATCGCGATGCTTCGGCTGCAGGATCCCAGCCCCTCGATGCTCATCCAGGCACCGCAACCGTAAAAGCGCAAACCCTCTTCACACGCACACACACACCAAGTAAGCGCACACACCAAGTAAGCACACACATAAGCACACACACTAAGTAAGCGCACACACCAAGTAAGCGCACACATGGAAATACGCGCTTCAATATAAAATAAAGTCCAAACCACACATGGTGTTTTACGGTACAAGAGTTGTTTTGGTGCCACTGAAGCCGAAAACTGCAATCGGACAAGCGCTATAAATAAAAGGTAAATTAAATAGCAAATAAATAAACATAGAGGTAGGTTATATTTCAAATGTTTATTATCGGAAGCTTTGGTTTATTGTTTGTGAAGACGCAGATTTTTTTCCGTTTCATAAGACCAGTTAAAATGTGTTTTTAAATTCAGAAATGTTTCTAGACGGGAAAGACAGTTGTCCAGCAGACAGCCAATGACATCCTCTACAATGAGAGTAATCAACAAAACGTCCTTTTTTAAGAGCCTGGTGCTTCATATTGTGCTGTATCCAAATACATTAATGGAAAGTTGAGTGGAAGAAAAAGTGTGTAGCAGCAACAAGGGCTAACACAATACGCTGTGGAATGCTGCTACAGTAAGAGCTTCAAGAGATAACAGAACATATTCAGGACCATGATTATCACATTCTTTGTGTTATGCCACTTCTGAATAAAAAACAACTTGACAACCGCTTTGAGACCCCAAATCATGTTAATTATTTCTATAAATCAAAAGTAATATCGTAAAATGTTTGGCCACAAAAGTCAATAAACACTTTTATTGACTTTTTTGTTCGACTTATACAGTTGTCCTTTTTTTCCACCACCATGGTATACCCTAACACGGGTTCCACCCAAAACTCTGTTGCAGCCTAATCCAGCCTGTATGAGCTGAACAATTATCCTGCTAAGCACTAAAGTCTTTTGGTTTGACCTCATATCTTCAAGAATTGACTGCCTCCCTTGACCATATCAGACTTTCCAAGTTCTGGTTTAGCGTTGACTGTTATTGGTGTGTATGTGACTCAGCACAGCTGGAATGTGTGCGTGTGTGTGTGTGTGTGCCATTGCTGGAAAAGCATGCGTCCAAAATCCACATGTAGCTATATAACCGCTGCGTCGAGTTAGGATGCAGCAAAATAAATGCAAAGAATGAAAACGAAAAGATAAAACAGGCTTCCTCCATCGTGCTTTTTTTAAATTATTATTCTAGGAGAGCAAGTTAAAGCACTTCTTACCAACAGGCGCTTTGGAGCTGATGCAGCCCATTCTCGCTGCTGCATGTAGACCCCCCCTTTAGAAGCGTAATCTATTACAATTCTTCCCGCAATCATCCACGTGTAAAGAGCCGCAGAGCGTACCTCACAGATGGAAAGCCTCAGTCCCCGTCCTCCGCTGGGTTCCACCGCTGTGCTCACACCGCCGGACTGAAGCCTGTCGGACTGGAGGGGGATCTGGCCATCACTTCTGCTCTGCGTTGCAGCTTGTGTCTTCTAAATCCACACATACAAAGTTTTCTGCGGCTCTTCTAAAGCCTCTCGTCTCCCTTTGGATCTGAGCCCTGCGTCAGCGTCCGCAAGGTTCAGCACCACAGCGGGAGGGACAGCGCTCTTCTCTGCAGGCAGCAGTCAAGGTTTCTGCCCCGACCTGAGAGCTGCAGTGCTGTGTTTCTATGTGTGTGTGCGTGTGCGTGTGTGTGTGTGTGTCAGGTGTGCCGTGTGTTAGTGGGGTTTTCTCCCCACTCTCCCTTACTCTCTGTCGAGTCCGCGCCACATTTTGGGCATGGCTCCACTGTTTCTGGTCAGGGAGTGAAGAGTCGATACGTTGATAGAAAAACAATCCATGCTTATCCAGCTCTTATACCGCTTGCGCCAACTTTCCGCCCCCTGACTGTGCTTTTTTTCCTGCCGTGTAGGAGCGGAATGAGACGGGATTGGCTGGAGTCACACGAGGGCGGAGTTGTGAGGGCACGCAGAGGAGGAGCTGGCTCTTCATTTAGGATTGCGTTTCCTGTCCGTGTTTACACCAGAGAAGGGCTGCGTTTCAGCAACTTTGATGTAACAAGAGGAAAGCAGATGTCATCATATCGAGACACTGCTCATTTCTACATAGAGATCAACAGACTATGAATTGACTTTTCTTGTCAATCTCTAATATTCCTTTACAAGTGTGTTTTTTTGTTTGTTTTTTTGAGCCGCTGTTGGGCAGCTTGTGATGAACCGCAAGCAAGCAAAGCGAGCACGAATCACATGCGAACAATGTAGAACACCACAACCCCATTTCATGGCCCATATGCTCTCATTATGTGTTAACTAGGCTCATTACACCATAAAACTCCTCTCTACCAGGCAGAAGTGTATCATGCTGCATGTTTCAATATCGATCTGACAAGACCAGAATCTTATACTAATACTGATACTGATACTTTTTATTATTTAAATTTGATACATCCTTAAACTTTTGAGCTTTAGGCTTTTTGGTGGTTTTCCCTTTGAATAATTTTGTTGAGTCCTATGATAGAATTTTAGACAAAGTTCAGGTGCCTACGATTTACTTTAACACTGCATTTTTGTGTAGTTTTGAACATTTTGAACAAAACCATTGTATTAGTAACTGTATGTTTAGAGTTGAATTATTGCTTAAAGGTTAACCTCCCCATCTTAAGTCTTCTGTTGCCTTTACATCATGATGCTGCCACCACCTTTTCTGCAGTAGCGTTGGTGTTTTTTGTAAACTTCCTCTCAACTTTCTCGACCTGTGTGTGTTTTTCTATTTTCTCCATCGTCATCATTCTGTTTGTTCTCAAAAGAACCTCTGAATCCATCACAGTATTGGTGTATTTATTCTGACTTTGAGTCACACACAGGTGGAACTTGCCTACTAATAAGTTAACAAGGAAGAGTAAAAGATATTAAATATGTGCACTCCTCACTTTTCAGATTTTTCGTTAGAAAATCATGTGTCATTTTCTTTTCACCTCACAACTATTTGTTTCATTCTGTCGTTCTTTACAAGAAAGAGTGACGGTTTGCAGGGTGACCCATTTGTAAATAACGCAAAGTTTTCTTGAGGCTGTTGGGAGTCTTCCTCCTTCCTCCATTCGTATTTCTTCACACCCACCAGGGCTCTAAAGATAGCTTCGCAGAGCTGATGACCGACGAGGCGGGCTCCTCGCTGCACCGCTCCATCTCCTAAAGCACAGATCCGCTCGGCTCTCCCTCCGAAGCAGGATCGCGTAACGCTCTTTGAGTGGGTTCTCCGTGGCGCCAGTGGGTGCCAGTGGGCACTCATTTACAAAAGCTCAAGTGCCCTGCATGTTTCAGCGCTTCCACTAGATATTATTGATATTTCACAAATCTGATGCCGTTTTTAGAAAGTAGGACTTCATCGTCGTTTGGAGGTGCAGGAAATCCACACCTCTGCAGAGCTGCGTGAAGTTTTGGGAGGGGGGTGTTACTTGTTTCAGCGACTTTAAGGGGGTATACAGTATTTTATGTGAGAAACATTTATTCCAGTTTTTTAACTTATATGTCAGAAAATGGATATATAAGTTAAAGTGGGAAAACATCAATCACAATAAAATCCCAGGAGATTTTGTGCGTAAATGCGCAGTGTGCAGAGATGAAGTAGTAAAGCTGAAAAAAGAAAATACTACCAGCCTTCATCACAGTAAATACAAAAAGGGTGAGATTAGATCTGAGCTGTTTTATGTGTGACTGTCAGTCAGACATGTTGCCCTTCTATTTTTCATTTCACAGGATGGGGATCTTCAGCACCCATCTCCTGCTGCTGCGCGCACTCAGCCGTGATTTCGTAACACATCCCAAGCTGCGGCAAAAAAGAGCCTGAGCCCACAGAGGTCCTCTCAGCTCCCCCGTTCGTGGCATTTACCCGGTGCTGCAGCGCCACCGGCAGGGCAGCCAGGGTACTACCAAATGATGGAGCCTGTGGGAGTTGGGGGAGAGAAAGCATGTGGCGCTGCACAGCGTGTGGCTGCAGAGGGAAGAGCAGAACATGTGGAAGATGTGATTATCAGAAGACTTTACGGTTAATTACAGAGCTGCTACTTATTTCCTGTCCTGTTTTTTGTTAGAAGGGAAAGTGATGTCATGATCCACTTTACTGAAAGTCAGAAAACATATTAAAGATTGATTAGCAAGCTGTAAACAGTCAATGAGTCGAAATCCTGGTTTTAATTTTTGATGCATTTAATCGTATGTTGTGCATTACATTTATGCCACCTACTTTCAACTGGTATTTTATGTAATAGACCAACCAAGTAGTACGCAATGTTTTAACTTGAATAAAATAAACATGGTTTCATAACATTTATTTGCAATTAAAAATCTGAAAAGTGTGGCGTGTATTTGCATTCAGCCAACCTTACTCAATATTTCATAAAATCACCTTTCACTGCAATTTCACGTAAGTCTTTTGGAGCATATGTCTGAGTGATGACATTCTTGTCTATTCTTCTTTACAAAACAGTAGAAACTCATCAGATCTTTCAACACTTAAGATTCTCAGTTGAATGTAATGCAAAATAAGATGAAATATAAAACAAAAACAAATAATAAACATTTTCTTTGTAAACAATACTTTTTCTCGTTTGTGTTAATTTGTCAAAGAAATCAAACAATTAAACTGAATTTAAATTTCTAGTTTTATTAGTTGTTTTTATGTTGTTTTTTTTTTAAGGGGAGTAAATGTTTGCATGAAGCACGAAACAGAGATATTATGCAGTGGCTTTAGACAGAAATTGTCTAAATTCTAAATGTGGGTGTGAAGAAATTTTATATAATAAACCTATACAATGTATTTCTGGTGAAATTAGACATGCTCAAAAACCTTGAGCATGGTTGTGGTTGAATTACAAAGATGAGTGGCTCACACCTACATTTAAAAACAGCATTTTATGTACACTTGCTTGGTCTTTGACTTTTTCATGCTTCCATTTGTTTTTAAAAGGTGTATTTTTGGTGATGAGTTCTACGTTTTTGAGGTTTGAAGGACTCAATGCCATCACCTTAATTTTTAGCTCCCTAATGACTGGAGTGTTCCAAAACAATAATTTTACCTCCAGCCAGAAGAAACCTGTTGGTAAAATTAAAAGATCACTTTAAACCCAATTAATTTGGGGCTTAACAGGATCACAGAGGGCAGAGATGAAATGACACGGTTCCTGCTGGAGACCAAATAAGTAATCTGTTCCAAACCTTCAGGCTCTCATTGCTGGAGATAAGAACAAACTTCTAATTAATGTTTGGATTTTTATGAGACCAAAATTTACAGAAGAGGCTATTATAGATTTGAGAAGTAGATTAAATCTAGTGAGAGAGGCTGAAGTTTTGTCTGAGAAGAATGTTGCTTATTCAGAGTTCAACCATAAGAAAGATGAATAAGTAGGAAAATAAAGAAAAGTGGTAAATAACTGTACATACATTTTACTG